CCCGCTGGCTTGACTTATGTCAGAGGCTGGAATAATTGATTGGCGCGGCCCAACGTCCTCCGACGACCCAGACCCCAGCTTTGGTTTGTCGCCAGAAACGGATAAACTCTCTCTGCGTGTAGGCACCGCTCATCGCCGACTGCCCGCAACGTGGCTGCTCTGGGATACAGACGTGCGTGTACGGATCGGCCTTGGGAATGCTGCCTTTTAACTGACCCAGGGGTTGGTTTGGGTTTTTTGTTTATTCCATTTTCTCCCCGTGTTTCTGTGGTGCGGAAATGGAGTGCTGCATCGCCTTAAAACCCACCACTCCATCGCCACTAGTGATGACGTGATAAAGTTACAACCCAATGCGTTAAGGGAAAAAAGCATTACCCTTCCATTTGATTGCCATTTATTATTCACTAGATACAGAGAATCACTCACGCTCGAATACCAGGGAATCGCATATGGGGGAAACAATAATGCACAGACCAATGGAAGAAACGCATTTTCAACTGTTATAACATGGCATCAACTTGAACTGCGCCATGTTTCAGCCCAAAGGTGTCTTCTCTTGATTTTCAGATGTGCTGTTAATTCCTAGTCCAGCTTCCCCATAAAGAGAACTACATTTCCACTTATGCACAGAGCAGCACAATTTAAAATTAAGTCATTTCAATTGTCTCCTTTCATTTTTTATTAGTACTTTAACTGAATAAAGCGCAATTACAAAGGCAAGCGGGCGTATACCGCCTCTTCCAGATCTGCGCTAGCACCACTAGCTCCTGTCTCTGTACAGCAGCTACTCGCTATTTCACTAATACAAGCTCATGCACTTCGCTCTGTCAGGGTTCATTCGGTGCTGGAGAGCCAAGAGAATCAGACCACCTTGTACGCTGTCAGCAAAAATACAGAAGAGAAGAAACAACACGTGCACCACAGATCTGGTTACAATTTGGCGTCAACGTGAATTGCAATGAATGGGTCTTCATCCTCGTTACTAATCAGGAAATTAGCCACGCCATCAGCAGCAACGTGAACTTCAACTGCGGTACAGGAGTCACCTTTCTTTTGCCCAGAAATGACATCGCAGTAAGTGCCAGCAGGCAGACCAGTCTGCAGGGTTACATTCAAAGACCTTTGGAAAATATTGAAATGCCATAAGGATTATTTGGACTCTCAAATGCTTTGAAACTCATGTTCGAGACCTTCTCAGGTGTTAGGTAATTCTGGAGTTGTTGTTCTGCAGCACTTCTCTGGACACTCCAGAATCTATTCTCCCACCAAATGACAATACTCTAGGGCTACTGAGTGAGGAGCCTAGAAAGACACCAAAGGTTCATGCTGTGCTCAGGTGCCATAAGGCTGGTCAACACACACCAGTTAAAGTCATTTTTCATGTGAGCTCTTTTACATTATGGGCACTTGAAGGAATTTGCTTCTAATCACACAGAATTACGCTCCTTTACAACGAAGAAAAATAATTACGTAAATAAAATAATTAATATAATAGGATTTAAGTATTTACCAGCAATGACAGGAAGCTTGTGTGTTCTCACTCTCCAGGAACTTT